TGTTAAACTAGTTTTTTCATGTTTTATGGGGAAATGTTTTCAGATAAAAAAATCATGTTTTGTTGTGTTTTTAAATTAACATTTGGAACTGAATTAAAATAAAACAGAAAATTGCATGAATGTTCCTTTATTTGTTTGCTTTTTTCTTTATTTTCTAGTTTAACAAATTGGAAAAATAAAACAACTGATATAGATTTAACTTGAAAATTAAAAAAAAAAAAAAAATTCATTCATCCAATTAAAAAAATTTAGGGTAATGATTCACATCTATATTTTTTAACTTGAGCCAATGAAAAATATATAACTTGCCCTAAACAATATTTTCTATGTCTATGAAAACTATAAAAATAAATTTCTTAAATGAGAATTTTTGTTTTGATTAAATCTATATTTTTTTTGTTTAATCAAATTTAAATTAATTGACTTTCTTCAACAAGAAAAATATACTTTGTGCCAGGTTTTATAAAACAGTTTTCATAGACATAGAAAATAATGCAAGTTATTTATTTTTCATTGGCTCAAGTTAAAAAATATAGATGTGAATCATTACCCTAAATTTTTTTAATTGGATGAATGAAACATTTTTTTCAGTGTATATGTGTTGGCATGCAGTTCTAATTTTAACAGCCAAGATCGCAAACGTCCCTTAATTCCAGACAAATCCTAATACTACGGCATACAGTTACATTCTTGTGAAATTGTGTGCTTCCACATTTATGGTAATGGTTTGGGTGGGCCCTTTTCCAAAGTGAGGTCCATAAAGAAATGATTTACTGCATCTGGTGTAGAAGAACTTGACTAGCCTGCACAAAACCCAGACCTGAATCCCAATGAACTGGAATGACGATTTCAAACCAGACCCCATCGCAAAACATCAGTGCTTGACCTCACTGATGTACAGGTGCAAATTCCAACATCCATATTCCAACATATAATGGAAATAATTCATAGACCAGCTGTTACGGAGGACAAACTCCCAAATTTCAAAATTCAGTAAACTGTTTGACCTTACCTCCCTGGATCATGCAGTCCATGGGCAAAGATTTCAGGGGGCTGATTTGTGCTGTTGAAATAGGGGTTGTTTCTGGGTATAGAGTAAGGAGTACTACACCAATCTGTGTCCACATCCACCCGAAGGACAGATCCTGTGAAATCACTACGGCAGAAGAACACTATTGAAAATATCTAAAACAATTCAGATATCACTATTATATAGCTTGACTCATCAATAGTGCCTGATTCATTATAGCTATACGCATTTAATACTTACCTCAGACCATCCATCTCCTCCATATCATCCAAAGTGATCATGCCATCACCTAAAAAGATGTGCAGAAGCCCATCAGGGCCAAAGAGGAGCTGCCCTCCCAAATGCTTTCGGTGGAGCTCAGCTACTTCCATTAAAACCTGAGTAGTCCTTGTATCCACCTGGTTTGGGTTTTTCCTAAAACCAAATATTAAAACATATTTAAATATAAAACTAAATTAATCAATCCATCGCTTTTCCAAACCACTAGGGTTAAAAAAACAAAATCCTGTAGGGTCACAGGGATGCTCTGTCTCAGCGTAGAAAATAGAACACTTAATATATTTAAATACAAAATTGAATATATATATATATATATATATATATATATATATATATATGATTATTTCAAAATATATTTATCAATTTAATAGTTTAAACATTTTTAAAATGTTTAAAACAAAATTTTTAATTACAAGAGATTATTCCCTAAAAATCAGCACAGAAAATGCAAAAAAACAAACAAACAAACAAACAAAAAAAAAGGGGTCAACAGACACTGTCTAGGTCTGATTATCACTACCAAACAGATGACACTGGCAAGTTTGGCATTTGAAAGGTTAATTTACAAAATGTATACTTCAGCTCGTTTTGTTAATGCTGGGTGTTTTGCATTGCAGCTGGGGAACTGAACACAATCAGAATGGATGTCAGCCTTCGTGATAATTATATGTTGTGATTACATATCTCTATAAAACATTCATCACTGTCAGTGAAAGCATTTCATGAGGAGCTCAGCTTCTCATGATTTATCCAAAACCGCATGGAAAACAAACATTACGCATACACGTCCATGTGTAAAGTGTTTGATCCAAGGCCGTAACCACATATTGACATTGGGGTAGGGCAGGGTTTTGTCTCTAACAAAAAATTTTCCCCTTTTTTGTTTTGCTTTTTGGAATATCAAGGCGGACAGTTTGACAATATCTGAATATGAGGAAGGACACATCCCCCCATTGTCTATGATGGTTACGGCTCTGGTTAGTAGCCCCTATGCTTGGTCAGGTTTTGACTGGTTTCTCATTACCTGGACACAGTGTACTCGACTACACGAAGAATGTGGTCGTGTGGTCCGATAGCCCAGCGCTCTTGGTTGGTCGTGTAGGAGACGTAGAGCTTTCCATTTTTCTTATAATTGGGGTGGAATGCAAGGCTTAGCAAGCCCCTTTCATCTCCTCCCTGAAAGTCAGATGGGGTACACAGAGAATCCAGAAGTTAATTATGTCTCTTTTTTTTAGCTTGGGCTGGGCTGCAAAAAGCTAAAGCCGGGCCTCCCTCTCTCTCTCCTTTTTATTTCTTTGGTCTTTCTCCATCTCGGTCTCTCTCCATATGGGGGCCAGTTACCCCATGCCCTCTTGCCCCCTTGCTTTTTTATTCTTACCTCCCCTCTCCTTGAACCCCGTCTTGGTTATAGGCACTTGTATTTGGGGCCAGGCTCCTCTGGGATGCCCAGGCCCTCCTTGCGGCCTCCATTGTGCAAGTGATTTGTGTGTGTAATCTTTGGGGGATATCCATGAATGCAGTGCCGAGTGGCTGAAACAATTCATTAGCTCGTTTGCAGTTCATAGAGAGCACAAAAGTCCAAGATTCCTTTAGCCCCCCCTCCCCTCCCCCCTCTCTCTCTTTTTTATTTTTAAACCCGTGCAAAATTTGAGAGAGGCAAGAAAAAGAATGGGCAGAAAAGGAAAAAAAAAAACACTCCCACTGTCTTGGCAACAAGATAGAAAACATTGAAATTGCTTGTGTAATAGGTAAAACCTCTCATCCTGGAGGCTACTACACGAGTTGTCACTACTCTGGTGGTCCACTCATCATAGCCCGTTGTAATAAGCAGCTATGTCGCTTTAGTTCCTGGGGAAAGTAATAATGTTGGGCTTCGTTTTCTTTCTGGTAATACAAATGAAATGAATGAACAGATTGCTAAGCACACGCCTCATGAATGAATCAATGAATGAACAAATGGGTTTGAGGCAAGTCCCTGAAAAACGATTATGATTTAATGCTTTGGGATAAGACCATAACACCAGTTTAATTACAGCACATACACTAACAATTTAGTGATATTGGCTGTCGAATAAGCAAACAAATTGAGTTTTCATGAAATTAGCTGTCTGTGCCATCTCTGCGGCATTCCTTTCAGATTTCTCACAGGAATTCAGTAAAGAGAGGTCTTCTGTGGATTGCTCAAGTTAACGGTGTGGTTCAGCTCACAGTACACGCCGAAACATACAGATCATAAATTGGTCAGAGGGACTCTGTTGGGCTGTGCTGAAGTAATCTAATTCGAATAGGCTTCAAGTGCTAGCGCTCCATCTCTGGAATGCTCCGGAGGAATTCGAATTGGATCTCTAGGAACATGAATAATAACACTCAGGAGGACTCTTTAGTAGACCACAAAGAGTGAAATCACAAGCAAAACTTTGTGGTTCCCATTAAATATCTGTTCTACATTAGTCAAACACAAAACGAGGTTGGGTTGAGTTAACAGCAGGTTGATATAATTTATCCATGCTCTGCTTTTTCGAATGAAAAGTTCTTCCTTTTCCCGAAATGCCCTCTCAACATGTTGGACTCCTGATGCACTGACCTGAATTCCAAAACAAACACAGAGGGAGCAGGTCAAGTTGAGAATTCCAGAGAGTTGTATGATTTCAATCCAGGGACCACCAAAGAACAAAATTAGCTGAAATATTAGCTTTTGCTAATGATCGTTCCTTCAACAAGTAGGCACAAAAAAAACTTTTCCAGGCCCATTCCTCTGGGTGCTACCAAAAACTTAATTAAGAGAAGACAAACTTTATGATATTCTCCCTCCATCCATCATAGCATATGTAGGGCTACGTGTATAAGCCTCTGCTTAGTTGCAACACTGATACATATTGTTCCACTGTAGCAGCCACAAGAACTTTTCTTAAACATTTCATCAGGGTAACCTTGCAGCATGCTGAAGTCAGTAGGAACAATTCAGCTCTGAAATGTGGCTTCAAAATGTCATGGTCAGAGGTTCTACGCGATGTTATTGTTGGCATTCTGTGCATTGCCTGTTGCTTTGACAGTACGAAGATTAGGTTGTAACAGCTTCTCGTAAAGAATGCATGTGAGAATACATCAGGGTCAGATATATTCGTAGACAGGAACAGGGAGCACTACCGCCCCCCCTCCAGGAATCCCCGTCCGCCCCAACGGCAGCTGCTTGCCTTTCAGGGCTTGATGCATGGCCTGGCTTGCACATTGTTTCTGAGCACCTTTTGATCCTTATTGGCTCAGGCAATCCTACATAAAGAGGCATTCCACCCGAGCTGATTGGAGAAAAACAATGCGTGCCTACCTCAAAGGCAATCTGAAATGCTCACACTAATTCAGAGTTCTATTTAGTTCAACACAATGAATCCCAAGACCCAAGTAAACCCCCCTCCTCCACCTGTTAACACACATTAATCCTGTGACAGCGCTGGAGTGAGGATCGCTCACTTTCAAGCGGTGAAAAGAGCAGATCGAATCGTAGGATAACATTCACTTATTACAGCAGCAGCTCTCTGGAGCAATCCACAAATCTTCTGAATGGCTCCATCACAGGTGCTCATCCTGTCTCGGGGGTCCTCGAAAAGTCAAAACCTTGGCCAGGAACTCAGAGGAAGCTATGTGAGATGACAGCTAAGCAGAGGCCGTTTCTCAAAGAGAACTGATCAAAGAGTCAAAGGACGAGAGAGGAAAAGGTCCATTTGTCAAAGCTAGGATACTTATTTTTTGACAGAGTCGAGAGCCCTCCTGCTCGTCTAGCTGAAAGAGCTCAACAGCTGTGCGTGTCAAGTGACAGAGTGCGCAACATGCTGTGATCTATTTGCTTCGGCAAGAAATAGTTTTTTGCAGCTGGACCCCTTGAGTTAGTTGATACACCACAATGGAACTCTGCTCACATTGCGTGCAGATGTCTTCTTCACTACGTCTAGCAAGGACAACAACAAAGCAGTACCATACTTGTGTACCTATCACATCAACATGAAGTAAATCAGGGCTCTTTCACACAAATAGTTTAGAAGATAAACACTTTAGGGCGCTGAAATACTACGCTTCAGGATTTTGCTTGTCACTGTATGACTCTTTTTTTTTTCGGCATCTGGAACACGGCAACTAGTTTACAAGACATCCCAAAATAGATAACCGGAAGTTAACTATTTAAGCACCTCCGTTGATAGCACTCTTACTTTGTTGAAACCAATACATGGTAGTCAGACTGGTGCAGGGTTGTGCTTGAAGAACAGCCACAGATGTGAGAGTGTAATAAAGTAGTTTGCAATAAATCAAATAGGACCACAGTCCTACAACATGCTTCCACACTAGCCAGCGCAATCCACCTTGCTGGATCTATGCAGCAGAAGCCAAAATGACCATCCTTCTCTGATGTGTCAAAACCAATAAGGCATGAGGTGTTTGATCTTTGACACTTTCTTTGGAAGATCTAAATTGAGTCAGTAACAGACAAGAGTGTCTATGATAAAGAAAAGAAGAAAAAAAATCTTTAAAAAATCTAGCTTAAAACAAATTACCAAGTTCTAAGGAATGTGCTCTTTGTTGGTTTCATATGGTTTTAAAAATGTTTAATTTATGAAACATTTGAATGACTCTAAAAATGTAATGTGGTGTAACCATCAAGTAAAAGGTCATAGCATTTTCAATGTATGTGAGTTTTTTTATAGTTTGTATCTTTTAATGTCATTACTTATTAATTTATAAATATCTAAAAAGGTCAAATTATCTAATATTTTAAGAGATTGATTGACCTTGACACAGTCATGAGCGTCTGCAGGCATCCTTCTGTTTAAAAGTCTGTTAAAAAGTTTTGTTTTTAAATAATGTAATAATAATCATTAATGTAATAACAATCATTAAAGCCCAATTAAAATGTTTTCTGTTTATTATATTAGGACATTTTGACGTTATGCCCCCCAAAAGATATCAAAATGAATTTTAATTCAGAAATTAAAACCATGCCATCATAAAAGAGGTGTATTTAAGTCATTATATGCATTTATTTTATCACATTTTTTAATAAAATTAATACATCTGGACAACGTCATTGACCCACCTGTGATGAGAAAAAAAAAACATTTTATAAAGGTGGTAAGGATGAGGGTGAGGGGAGATGATCAGTAGACGGAGGAGAGCGTGTCTTTGCATTTCAGAACAAAACTTCTGTCAGTAATTGTAGAAGCACACGTGACACAGAATATTTGATAATGTCACACAGTGTGTGTGTGTGCATGTGTGAGTGACTGAAGAGATACGGTTTCATCAGAGAACACCCACGGTGCTCTGGGAGACTCCCTCAAGTAGACAGAGCATTGTTTCCAAGCAGTTTGGCTTAACTGGAAGTAAGGGGATTGGGCTTGAAGGAGATACAGAACATTAGAATCAAAGTCATAATTAAACACTATCATCCCCCTTCATGCCCAAGTCGGGTCCCAGTGGGTCGCCAGGCCTTCCATGGGCACAAAGGCCACATGTCCTGTTGATGCTCCAAGTAAACACAGCCGACTCGGAATGATAACGGCTAAACTTGACAGAATAGCACTCTTGGGGACTGCCGGGGCTTGAGCTTACTCTAATTGTCATAATGATTGCTTTATCAACAACCAATTATGTTTAATGACGATAAGGCACATTGGGGGTCTTTCCTGTGGGACTGTTGCATGTTGACTCCATAATTGCTCTTTCTCCTTTTATAAGTGAAGCAACGGGAGGTATGCGATATACATAAACTTCCTGTCAAAAAGCAGGTTTCTTCCTACATCTCCGGACACTTCCTAAACAAAATCTTCTCAAATTACAGAATGCTTCAGTTCTTGTAGGGGCAGATAAACATCTGTTGTGACACACGCCATAACTACTACTGACAGACATGCATGTAAGCGAACGCAACATTTCAGCCTTTCTCACTGATCCTCAACAATCAAACACACAGTTTCCTCTGCTGGCAGTCAGGTTGACAGCAAGCAAACCACACACATAGAAGCCCACATACAGAATACATTTGTATAATAATACCCTCCATCACCCTCCATTCAGGTTTTGATTTGTGGTGGGAGGAGAGGAAAAATGGAAATAAATCCATAGAAGTTGTTATTGTGCTCCTTAAAGATTCTATTCTGTTAGGGTGCTTCATTTCTCCCACCTCGGCTTCGTCTGAGAAGGTGCCAAACCAAAATGATGAACAACAGATCTTTCAGGTTTCAGTGAGGTTTCCTGATTTATGCGAGACAGACTTTTCTGATGGTGGGAGGTCAGGCTGCATGAATATCAAATAGGAGCTAGTTCCTTTTCAGAGGCAGATATGCCAACAATGTCGGGAGTAAAAAGTCTTAGCTAAAATTCACCATTATTAGCATGCTCAAGAAAAATACTTGAAAAAATGTATTAGAGGTATGTATTAATCCACTGGGATGTGATTCAGAATAAACAATCTCCTGACAAATTAATTGCACTGTATAATATGTTCAAAGGTGCACTTTCAATTGTGGTTTAGTTGCATTAGCTGACATGGCATTTGTCTTGGTCTTTAATATGACATACATCAGAGTGAAACAAATTATTATATTTAAACAGGCTAAATTATTGTCAATATGTCAATATGAGGTAAAAAAAATTATAATTAAACGTATAATCAATTGTTTACAATATGATTTATAACATGTATTTGCAAAACAGACAGGGTGAATTTTCATTTCATGCCGACTTTATACCATTTTAGAAATTCAGCTCTATTCACAGGCAGCAATTTTTATGTATCTCAGAATAAAAAGTATCCAAAAGCAAAGGAAATCAGCAATGTTTTTCCGAGAAAGTGTTTTTATGAATTAAAAAAAAAAAAAAAAACTGAAAAAGTTAATCAGGTCACTGATGAGAATGGAATCTTAAACTGATATAAGTACACATGATTGTAAACATACATTTTATATTTGTTTCTTATGTATAATACTTTTTAATGAAAAAAAAAAAATCAATAACCACAAACATTGTCAATCCAGCCAACTGATAACACCAAAATGGCAACAAGGAAGAGCTAAATATCACTTACCTTAATACCGCTTTGTACCAGCTTATGAATGTCCAGAAAAGGCTCTTTCAAGAGCTCCATGTCATGTGTTAGGATACGGACAAAGCCTTCCTTCTCAAAAATAAAAAGCCGCTGTGATCCATCCCCACAATGCACCATGCCAACAGGCTGTCGAAGACCACTAAGGATCTCCTGAGTGCAGTAGCAGTTGTGTTTATGTTTTCTGTAGGAAAGGATTGGAAAGATTAGAAAAATAGATGGGTTAGTTTACACATCAGGCTTTTAAGTTGTTGTCTAATGTCTATTATTTGTTGTAAACAGTATAACTGTACAAGTTGAATTGTTATAAACAAGTTTATTACAGTTAGGAACAAGGCAGAATCGTTTCTGCTTGACAGACTGGTTTGGGAGTAGACTGAATAAAACGCCACAGGAGAAGTTCATTTTACATAGTCAGACGTTGGGGGCTTTTAAGCTGTGAAACAAGTGTTCCATTAACCACAAGTCACATTTGATGTGGGGATACGCCAACTCACATTATGCCTTAAATAAAACAAGGGCATCAGCGGTGTGGGTGCTCCTGTTAACAAGCAGTTTTGGAGGGATTTTCCATAAATGTAATAGGGGTGAACTGGCAGCAAATGTATGCCTGACATCTCGTGCCTGAGCTGTAGAATAACGTCAGTCTGACGTGCTTGCAGTGACTCTGCCCATCAGATCAGATATGCTGCTTTACAAGCCCTTCGCAATGGGTGGTCCGATGAAGAATTATGACGATCATTTACAATGACTATGGGCTCAAAACACATGGTGGATTCACAGCTCGTCATTATTTGTCTCCGAAGGTCATACAAAAACGAGGCATTTATCACTGTTAAAATGAAAGGTGCTTAGGGCACACTTCACTGAAATGTGTCATTAAATCAGATCAGTTTAAAAACCGAAGTGAAGTGAAAGTATGCTGAGGGTGACAATGACACGTCACTAAGAGAAAATTAACTCACTGCTTAACTACCACAGCATGATGTATATTTAGAGAAATTATAGTTGTGACTGTTTCCTGAAACAATAGCAACATGGTCGCACCTCTGTCTTTTGAACTATGTTGGTTCAGCAATATTGGATGGTTTTGGGAAACGCTGAAAGTTAGTAACAACAGAACTTGCTGGCAAACAATGTTTTTGGGAGTCCTACAGGTGGTCTTGTTGAGTACACATATGAATCCATCATTGTAAGTTGTGAAAAGTGAATACTTAAGCCTTTTGCTAACACTAATATGATCAATCAATCAACAGAATATTCAGCTATGAGCTAAATTCTATCAGAGCCAGCCCCAAATGACATCCCTACTTCCTGTCACAAATGGTCAAAGCCCTCTTGCGGTCACCAACAGCTCAGAGTTCCTGCAACATAAGCACTTTCTTTGTGTTCTTAAAGCTGGCTAAACTCATTCTGGACACAAAGCTCTGGCTTGGAAAGGGGAGCAATGGACCAGTCAATGAGTACATGCAGGAATGTTGTGACATGGAAGGTTAGTTAGGCATGTCTTATCTCTAGTGACCTTGTTGAGGCTGCCCTGATGACCTAGTAGTCAAAGCAGGCCAGTCATACTGGGCCATGGGACATTAGATGACGGTAAGGAAGCTTCTCTCATGCCTGATGAAGAACGTTGTTACACGCAAATGTCATTACAGGGAATAGCTCACCCCAAAAAATGGAAATTCCGATATGATTTAATCAACTTCATTTCAAATGTTAAAAAAAATGGACTGGACCTTTTTTCCATGCAGTTACAATGAATGAAAACTGGAACTTTCAAGCATCAAAAAGGATGCAAAAGTACCTTAAATGTAGTTCATACAACTTGTTCACTAGATTCCAAGTCTTCTGAAGTTATACAGTACAATTTGTGTCACACTAAGTCGTTATTCACTGATAATATTCCTTGCTATTGGCTGTTGCAACAGGAGTCTGAGCTGAACCTTAGAACCAATTAGAACAATTCAGAACTATTTATGAATCATTCAGACTGGTTTTGTTAACTAGATCAACCGATTCATCAAACAGATCTGACTCAAAATAATAATTAGTTCAGAAATCAGACATTGTTACTTATCTTATATACACTAATTAAAGTGCCAAGGAAAGCTAGTACAGTTGTCAAGATTTTTGTGAATACTGACTTAAATTTTTGTAATATGACTGAGCAGACGAGGTATATATACCATATATATGGCATATATATCCATATATATATACAGTGGGTACGGAAAGTATTCAGACCCCCTAAATGGCTGCAATATAACAAAGAGTGAAAAATTGAAGGGGGTCTGAATACTTTCCGTACCCACTGTATATATGTATATACCAGTCATGTTGGGGGTATGGCATTTTGGAGCTTGACAGCCCCATTTTACTTTCATTGTATTGAAAAGATTGACCAGGATATTCTTCATAAATTCATCTTTTGTATTTGGAATGACACGAGTAAATAAATATTGACAGAATTTTTATATTTAGGTGAACTATTTCTCTACAGTGCAACATTTCAGATAAATAAAAAAATGTGTGTGTGTAACTGAATTAAATATACCTGTTAATCACTTCTATTTTTTCATCTAACAGGTAGTTGGAATCTCGGCGCAGTTGCTTTCTGTGAAAATCTGGAAAGCACAGGCCTCCGTCCTTCCTTCCATAGTACTGGCAGAACTCATCCACGTCGGCTTGGAACAGTTCTAAAAAACACAGACAGACAGACAACTGGTCTCAGCCTGAGACAGACACCACACAGGGTCCATGGATGATGTAATCACCTCCAAAACCAACTGAATCCCCTACAGTCAAAGCTGTACTCGAGTCAAGTATGTCCTCAGCCATCAGACGGCTTATTGTGTGGGCGTTTTGGTGGTGATTCCGGTGCCAAGCTTAATTCCTATCTTGACTATGGTGCATTTATGAAGTACTGAGTCTCAAATCAAGACATTTGTTTTTGCCTCTCATATCTGACAAGTGCAAGTCACGGTCATTCATATCGGTCCAGACCTTTAACCATTTGTTAAAAACGGTCATATTTGACAGTGCCACATTGATACACACTTCTGGGTGCTACAATTATGTGATGGTTGAACCCCAGTGAGATATTACAAACCACTTCAGACATGTGTGGTCCGTATGTGGAAAGTTTGTGAGTTCAATTAAACCCAAAAATGCCAAACGCTCAGTCTGTATCTCCTTCGCTGTTATATCTTTCAGCAGAAACATGCAGGTCAAATCCAAATAAATGATAAGTACACACCCAAACTGATTGATTATATTTAAGAGATTAAGTTTGCTTGCTTACTTTCATGGAAAACACCCTTAATTTATTTCTCCAGTAGAAGCCAAAATAAATTCACCATAATTCAGACATCTAGAGTTGAGGAATGCACAATGAAAATTTTGAAAATTAAGTGTGTGGCAATTAAATCACAGTCGGTTTCTAGGAACTGTCTTGGCTGAATGAGCAGCACGACAACAAGGAGAGAGAACAGGACTTGGTTTGGCAGCCCCTGTGACCTAAAAACCTCACTGATATGGTTACCACCTTAGCTAAACCCTCTCATGGGGAGGAGTAGAGCAAATACAGCAGTGATAGAAACACAAACACACTCCTCTCCTTCCTTTCATCTCCAGTGAGCCCCCAATGCCGCATGAGGAAGGGGGCTGCGTGTGGGAGGGAAGCAACAGCACCAACAACAGAGGTGATGATAGGATATCCATAAACATCTAAACACAACAGTGAGATCAAACACACACACCCACCACCACCACCTCCACTCACACTACCATGCCACCCACGCAAAAACCGCAGTGGTTATCTTGGGCCTGCTGGTGTGAGCAGTAAGGGTCTGGGAGCTGTTGTCAATAGTAGCTGAGAGGTCAGCATCTGTATGCAGTTCCCACACTTTTGAATTTTCCATATCCTTTCCATGTCCAGATTTCATATTGATGGAAAAACATTTTCATTCAGACCTTTTTACTAATGAATCATTCAGACTAATGTATGAACAAGTTCAACCAATTCTAATTCAAAAGAATAATTCAAAATAAAGAGCCACTCAAAAAATTTAGAAAATATGGTAGAAAAAGTATATTATACACTATAAAATCATTATTTATAAAGCCCATAATATGTCTATGACTTTTCTAAGGCTTAGAGAACTACATTTTAAAATAACCTGATATTTTCTTGGTTTTTCATGACTTAGGTCATAAAGGTCTTAAAAAAAGGTCTTAAAAAATAAAGGTTATTTTTTGACATCTATGGTTCCATGAAGAACCTTTAACATCAATGCACAGAAGTTTCCTAGTAATAGAAAAGGACTCTTCAGATTATTAAAATGTTCTTTACACTAAGAAAAAATGGTTCTTTTGGAAAAGAAGAACTGTTCACAAAAAGGTTCTTTGGGAACCCCAAAATGGTTCTTCTATGGTATCGCAAAAACCCCTTTTGTAATCTTTTTTCAAAAGTGTGGGAACCTGTTTATGTCTTCATTATATCAATGAGGTCATGGGGATCAAAAAAGTGTCTGCTGATATGAGGTGTGAATATATCCTCTCAAAACTATTTTTTTGGTGGCAATATCTTCAACAGGTCGAGTCTTAACATTCCAAACTCTCATTTGATTAGATTTTTTTTATCCAGTTCTGCTATAACTGCTGACTATTTTAGATGTGTTATGCTTTTTTTTAATTAAACCTAACCTTATTTAACAAAACCAATTTAAAGTTTAATCTTTACCAAATCAAATGAGATCAACACATTGAACAGACAACAACTGTAAAATCAATACTTTGGAACTAAAGTGTTTTTCCTTAATCTCAGGGGACTGAAAGTAAACACCATGAAAATATGAAGGGACTTTCATTACTGTTGAAAACCAATGTGCAATCACGGTCGTAAAAACATGGTTAAAAAAATATGGATAGAAATGAAACGCACAAACTGAAAGGACTGTCTAATTTGAACAATTTATAACTTCCCTAAACATGGCGAAAACACTGTGTGGCCTCAACTACAGTCTCAGCCCCTCCACAATATGCTCTAGTTTTATTGTACTGGCCTACAAAAAAACAGGACAGAGAGAAAGAGACTCCACATCCTCAGCGCTATAGTTATACTTCCATCTGGTTATCTTCCAAAGCAACCTGGGTGGCCACCCAAAGTACTTGACATCTTGATGCACTTCAGCAGTTTTACATATACACAACCTTTGTAGAAAAATAAATGTGTCATTCGTCACCACATATGCTGATTTGGAAGGGGGAGAGTGGGGTAGAGTCTTTTGGCCCCAGCTCCTGTTCTCAGTCTTTACCAGTTTTCTCTCTCTCTTTCCCATACGCTTACTCCCTCTACAAAGAATCGCAATAGACAGCACACCCTTATTTATCTGTTTTGTAGAGGAAGACTGAAAGGTAAACTGTATGTATACAGTGTCTCATTTTTGTCTGTCTATTTGCATTTCCGTGGGTGCATATGTGCGTGTGGCTTGCGTTTGCTCTCTGTTTGCATATTGGCCCTCATCTAATCTGTTATGGCTGCGCTGATAGGAAGAAGGTTTGGTCTGGCGGCCAGTTTTTGCATGCCATTCCATCTGATGGAATGCATCATGCAGCAAATGTTGCAACCCAATAAGCAGCTATAGGATGTTTGCGCCTGATGTCATTCATGTTTGGAAGAAAATACAAACCTCATAATGGCCTAGAGCTTTTCAGGTCTTCGGACTCCTCCCCATCTGTTTTTCCCCCCTTATGTTTCAGAGGCCTTAATGTTTGTCTTTTCATTGAACGTAGGATGCCACCAGGAAAAACAAACTGATTATGTGAGCATTGCCTTGAACAGGCTTCGTTTTCTGCTGCATCCTGTAAAGTGTGTGTGTGTTGTGTGAGGTTTGAGTGTCAGTCATGTCTAGACCGTAGTCAGACCGAGCACACACACACATATCCAGAGACAGACGCACATAAACACCAAACACATCTTGGCAGGCTGTTCTGACATAAAATAAGACGCTTGCCAAAGGACCGAAGGGAAGAAACAGGTCATAAAATCATTCATTTACAGCTACAGATTTTCGAGCTTTGTTTGGGGGGTTTTATTGTTTATTTTAAATATACATTTTTTATCATTTATATTTCTATAATAACAATAATTTAAGGCCTTTTGTGATGCTTAAGTCATTGCAAAGATTTAAATAAATAAATAAATTAATTAATTAATTAAAAATAAGAAAGAAAGAAACAGCAACAAGTGGTTCCTGAATGGCATTTCTTGAACATCAGCTGAATGAATCCCTCCGTTTCAAAGTAACTTTGCCATGATGGAGCTGCAAGAGATATTTTGTTTTCTCCCACTATGCGACTTTATGGTCTGATGCATTAATCTGAGGTAATTTGTTCACCTGGACTTATAATAATTGCATTACATGTGTCAGAAGATGAATGTTCCTGATGAAGTTACTAATGTTCTTTATGCAAAACTCTTGCATTGATCTTGTTTGTTACCTGGTACGTGTCCCCGGCAGGTGTAGTAGAACTCCTGGCAGTAGTCGTGGCATAAGTGGGGTAGATATTGTTCTCTGTGTGGTGCTTTTTCAAGTTTGGGCGAGTGGAAGAGCATCTGGGCATGTGGTGAGCAATGGGCGCACTTAATCTCCTGCAGCAGTCTAGAACACTCTGTGTTATTGGTTGAGAAGATCTAAGGAGCGAAAAACAACCAGCAAAGGTTAGAACTGTGGTTCTAATTGAATGGCTAATCCAAATTTGACTCATGCTACAAAGCTGTTCCTATATAACAATTGTATATTGTATATATAATAAAAGAAAAGTCAAACTAGGTGGTTTGACGCACATTTTTGGAATGTTTTCTCGTTAATTGGATGCAATTCACATTCTAAACATCTCTCTTAACAAACACCACACATCCATGTGGACTTGATTTCTCCTGATTTGTTTATTTGAGCTCACAAACAGCTAAGCCAAAATTGCACCTCGCATGGCAGCTGAACCCATGCTGGAGCTAACGGACCGAAATGAGGATACTCAAAATGTTTCTTAAGTCACCAAACAAAAGTAAACAGTAGATTAGGGCCGAGAAAATGAGCAGGCTTATTTATGTAACAAATTAGCTGTAATAAAACAACAATGTAATCTGCTCCCTTCCCCAGACATGTGCCTGTGCCGCAGCAGTCTAGTAAACCTCCCTCTCTCTGTGTGAGGTCCATGTGTAAACACCAATTTATAGATAGGGCACATCATTCCCGTGCTGGTATCAACAAATTAGCAGTATGTCCAAGTCAATTAGACCAGCACACCCAGCAGACAGCGTATTGACGGCCCACCTCCTCCCCAGCCCACTGCTCTGTGTAGTAAACCATTTTGACAGATTTCTTTGATTTTGATTCTCCAGATTCTTTCGAGTGAATCAAAACCATCTTTGTGGGTGGAAGATCAAACGGTGTCCGAAAAATGTATTGACACCTCCATATGAACCAGAGAGTTTGGAACGTGAATTTTCAAGCTCTCTTCGCTCTCAGTCTTGCAGTGGTTGGTGTGTTAGCCTGGTCTGTGAGTGGCAACTCTCCTGCTTTAAATTGCCCATTGATTTAGTGAGCCATGGACTGGCACATGGTCCATGGAGAGAAGCATTTGTGTGCTCTCAACCATGCACTCTACCCATATGTTGCTGGGATGGACTCCAATGTTGCCATCACCCTCACCAGCAACAAGAGGACCTTTGTTTTTTCTTTTTTTGTGTTTTCCAAAAAAATGCCAAAAGTTGTTCAAAGCTGCTTCAAATCACACCACGGTCTACATCACAGCCTTTTAAAGCCATACATAAATACTGAAACATGCCAGTGAAAATAGGTGGCATATATGAGTTAACATTAGATGCTTTGAAATAGCGTGGTTCGGCATGAAAAGATAATGAAAAAGATAATAATGAGAATGATATGTTTATATAGTGAAATCTGAGCAGATGTTGGGATTATGCATCATGGCACACAATATCCTTTGTCACTGAAACTGACAGAACAAACGTAAACACAAAAACTCGTTCAAAAACAATCGCTCGTCATTTAGCGACAAACAATGAGGGCAGCTAGCTCAGAAGTTCTCACTGAGGTGCCAGAAAAAGGCGATTGATGATCGAAGTTACCGCAACCATAAGATTTAACAGACATTTTAACAAATGAATCACCTGACATGAATGAAATGAAAACCTAGACAATGACAAACCCCCAAATGAAACCTAGCTTCCCCACAAAACCTGTAAGCTTTTATTAAACAGCTTTAGTGAAACCATTTTGGCCCTCTGGGAATTGGTGTAAGTTTGGGGTGGGGAGCAGGACTCAAAGGCATTAACTAACACTTGGACAGATCCAAGGACTGGGGGAGAATGATGTTCTCCAGCTTCACCCATTAGTGAAACTAACAAACACAATGGTGTTGTTGTTATTCTTTTGCCATAAGCAAAAAGACTCCGTGTGTGGGCAGTGTAGTGGGGAGGAGGAGATGTCGACTCTTTTTTGTTCCATTCAGCCTCGCTCTTATTTGCATGACTTGAGCAAATTAAATGATGCAATATGGCTTTTTGTCACAAACCGACGTGCGATGCCACCCAGCCGCGTATGTCGATCTGCGGAGGTTGTTTACATGAGAAAAGAGCGATTTCTCGGCACAGAATGTGTTCATTGATAAAACTATTTAGATGAATCTTCTCACGTCTATAGAAAGCTTCAGAAAGATGCGATTCATTACCGATCGAGAGACATTTGTTTCCCATCTGTTTTATGTAAATTATATCCATCACTACGAGAAGCACATGCTGTAATTGAAACATCAGCGTGAAAAGTTGCGCAAAATGTCTAATCTATACATACAAACGTTTAACTGGTGGAATAAAGCTTTTAAGTGCGATTCAGATTTCGGAAACACAATATTGCTGCAGGAGAGCATGAAAATTAAGCGATTTCATTCATACGCCTCGTGCTCGCCAGTGAACTGCACTGCACGCGTCCTTACCTCCGTCCGAGCTGTTTTTATTTGATTTTCTATGTAAACATGCGCGAGACCGACGTCTTTAGCCATTGCGCACAATCTCGCCGTGTTTATCACTGTCAGTGCCACGTTTTTTTACAACGCCGTGTCAAGTTAACACAAGTTCAACTTTTAAAACCACGCGTTCTATTTTACACTGCTCCGCGTCTTTGCCGTTTTAATGCAAAACGCATTCAATACACACAGTGCGCATACTGCTTATCCATATGTTCATTACAAGATCAACCATTATCCCTCTACGTACTGCTGCAAACATCTCGAAATCAATGCATGAACCAATTGCCATAACAAAACACGCATGAGAATCACTAGGTCAGTTTGAGGCTGCAGGAAACCTGAACATACCCGAGCATCTCTCCGATGGAGTATCTGATACGGAGCCCTCCTGGACGGACAGCAGGACACGCGAGGATAGAGCCTGTGACAAACCTCCCCTCCGTCGCTTCCGTCCAGTGACAGTTTTCTCTCCTTCTTGTTCAGGCGTTTCGGCAGACTTCCATCGTAACATCTCCTCCTCCTTGGACTTAATTCTCCTTTCTCGCCGAATTTCGTATCACCACATTCCCAAAAATTGGCCGCGATGGCCAACAAGAGCACAAATTTCAAATGCTTCATTTTCAGAGGGATTAAACCAAAAGCGGAACACGCGACTGCTCAGAAATCAGGACTGCTGTATGACAGTCCCCACGCGTCCAGAAAGTTGTTATTGAATAACTAATTTCGATTAAAACAACTATTCACTAATAAAGTAGTCCAAATTAATTAATAGCAAAGGTATTTAAAAAGAACGAAAAAAATAAAGAAATGGCGATAATAAATTAAGACAAGTGCTGGTTATGATGTTGTTAAAGTGGAAAAAAAAGACACGATACTGTATTTTAATAAGAAATAATAATAAAAAATAAGAAGTGGTCGGATATACAGAAATTGTATGTCTCCTTTCCCAAAAGTTAAATCCCGTTGGTGCACAAAGGTTGATGCGTGTGATCAAAAGTTGCACTAAGTTGTCTGTTGCATGCTCTTCAGTGCACTCACATGTTTCCCTTTGCTCTTTCCACCTTCTTTTTAACCAGCGCGCGAGAAGGGGAACGCGCACGATGACGTCTGTCCTGTCCGGGAACGCGCGTCATCGTGCAAGTAAAGAAAAGTATTATACGCTGTAACTGTAATATTGACGGGAAATAATGTTACACCGCGTTCAATACACATTTTACTGAAATGTGTAATACTGTTACCAGAGGCGGACAAAGTACACAACTCCATTACTTAAGTGAAAGTACAGATACTGCTGGTCAAATATCACTCCATTACAAGTAAAAGTTGTAAAGACAGATTTTTACTTAAGTAAAAGTACAGCCCTGTTGAAAAAAACAGCATATGCTGGTTAGGTATGTTTTGACGCTGGGATGCTGGTTTAAGCTGGTCCTTTGCTGGTTTATGCTGGTCCTTTGCTGGTTTATGCTGGTCCTTTTCTGGTCTTTTTGCTGGTTTATGCTGGTCATGTGGTGGCAAAGGACCAGCATAAACCAGCAAAAGGACCAGCATAAACCAGCAAAGGACCAGCTTAAACCAGCAAAGGACCAGCATAAACCAGCGTCAAAACATACCTAACCAGCATATGCTGTTTTTTTCAACAGGGAGATGTACTTGCTTTTAAAAGTACTTAAGTACCAAAAGTAAATTTCCTTTTTTATGTCAATGCACTGTTTTATTATTGTTGTATGTAATACTTGCAATACCTCTGAAGCAACTTACAATACATTACACCTGCTGAATACACTGACTAGCTTGTAGTATCTTGGGAATAAAGAGCTTTTAGAATGTTAAAAACCTATGGTGGAAAAACAAAACAAACAAACAAAAAAAATTATTTAACACCCCTACCCACCCCCACAAAAGCAGAATGGTAGTGATCTCACACAGCTCTGGACACATCTATGTGTAACCATTCATCCACATTTGAACAGAGTGGACAGAGCAATTGCTGTAAATACAGACTGATAAGGAAGAAAATAAAAAATCAAACCTGCTTTAAAACCCAGCAACACAACTGTAGCTGTATAACTTTACAACAGCAACACTGCTTTAACAAAAATGCAAAACAGC